CTTTCCCGAATTAAAACCTATGATATTCACTTTATTGAATTCCTCATCTAGAAGTTCTTTAAATGCTTCCTTCTGTTTTTCATTTAATGTATGGGACAAAGTCCCCGCCGTTTGGTCCGTTTGCGGCTTCATTAATTCTTCATATTGTTCAATATTTGATTTAGCAACTAATGAACAGGTTGAAAATAAAAATTCAATCCAATCAGAGATGAACGAATCACTTGATGTTAAGCAAAAATTCCTCGTAAATGTTTTATCGTTTAATTTAACCGTTGATGATACCATGAATGGTTTTAAGTAAGCGTTCAAAGTTGCACATTCAGAAAGTTGAAGTTCTTCTTTAGTCTCTAATGTTTCGAAGTCAAAAGTAATATAATATCTTGTCGGTTTATAATATTTCTGCAAATTGTGAGCTAATAACCACTGATATATCTTCTGTTTCGTGATATGTGGTGCATATGGTTGCTGGGTCTTTTGCAATTGAACGTCTTGAATTAATCTTCCATTATTTTCTTTACATTTCTCACAATGTTTTAAAAATCTTCTTTGGTTTTTCCTTTCTGGGTCATCACGGATAGAATATACTTCTTCTTTGCAAAAGGGGCAAACTTTATATCCTGTGAGTGCTTCAACGTCTGTTATTCTGTCAGCGTGAAGTTTTCCACATGGACTCTGTGTTAATAAAATATTTACTGTTTCAAATTCTGGATCTATCATTATTGATTCCACTAATGGAAAGTCTACCTTATTTATGTCCACGTCTTCTGGTTGAGGATCACAATAATAAAAATCAATATTAACATTTAACATTCTCGCTAATCTCTCACTTTCTGATGAAATGTCAAACCCTTCATATGCATCTATGGTTTCATTTAAATAACTTCTACGAGTTTTAGGATTAACACCATCAGGAATGTTATAGAAGCGTTTAAATAACCTTCTACCTTCTGCTCTAATTTGATTATCATTCATTTTAGCTGTTCCGTTTTTGTTCATTTATGTAAGAATAAAAAATTAAAAAATAAATAAAAATAAAGTTTATTTTTTTAAAGTCCAGGGCTAAAGTCCATAAAATGAATTAAGAACACATAAATTTTTATCATCTGCGACGTGACGAATACATTTTAATTTACTCAAGAATGCGTACCCTGATACATTAAATCTAATTCCTGTCTTATTTAATTTCACAACTTTGAAAAGGAATGTATGAATAGCTATAAAATGATGAGATGATGTTTTATGGGTTGCTTCCATTTTTTCTGAAATAAATGAATAAATATAATGTTTATAAGTTTTCATATCTTTTATATTCTTAATAACGAATGGTATAGACCTTTCCACTTCGTCTTCCTTCGGTGCTGTTCTTTCATATGAAACATTATTGGTATCTTCAATAATGAAACCACAATCGCATAAAATTTTATATGTACCAATTGTTTCTTTTGATATTTTATCTAACAAATCAAAAACTTTATCAACACCTGTACATTTATTTAAATAATAATTTGTGTAAATATCATGGTCTTCTTTCTTAATCGTATTTGTTGCATATGTTACATTTTTCAATGCTTTTTTGAATTTTTCAGAATCAAGAGGAGGTGAAAGTAATATACATGGATAATCTCCATCGTCAATAAACTGAAGCTTATGTTTACGAATAAATTTTGTGCCTTCTTCTGAAAGTGTTTCATCTATTTCACCATCTAATAAATTTTTAGTAGATTCCAAAAAGTAATTTTTATATCTTTCTTCATGAGATTTTTGAACTTCTGATTCTGAAGCTGGGATATTCATTAAACCCTCTACTTCATTCTCATTATATTTTTCAACTTCTCTTAATTCCTTAATTTTTTCATCTATTTCATCTCTTATTTTTTCCAGTCTTTCAATTTCATCATATTCATCATCTTTAATCCGTTCTTCATAATATTCAGGGAAAACATCAGGTTCTTTAGGTTTTTCTTCTTCAGATGTGGGATATAAGAAATTTATAACATCATCTTTATTCATTTTTCCATCATAATCTAAATCATTTAATAACTCTGCGAATTTTTGACAATTTCTTAAATAATATTTATTAACTTCATAACTCGCCTCCTCTAATATATCCTTTATTTCCTCGTTTGTGAATCCCAATTTTTTAACGTCGTTAGTCTTGACACTCATTTTCATACAAATTAAAAATAAATTATTCAAAAATGTAAGACATGAATTTTTAAAGTTTATTTTTCATTCATGAATGATAATTATATCTGATTTCTTTTACTCTCTCATACATACTAGATTTGAAGAATTCAGAACATTTCCCATAATCTCCTAAATGTTTTCTTATCCCCAACGTGTGCCAGTTATTATATGAAACTGAATAAACTTTATCTTTATCTTTACACCTTTCATCACTTCCAATATATTTATATCTCAGTTTTGATTTAGCATTTTCATATTCATTAACGTTTAATAATTCACAGTCTTCCTTTTTAAATAAATGTTTAAGATATTCAGGATTTAATACTCTACGTTTATATGCTCCTAACTTAGTTCTAAAGGTTTTTCTACAAAATTTAGGAATTCCATCCTCTTTAATGTCATCAATGATTTCCATTTCATTATTTTCAATTTCTTCTTCTCGTTTATGAGGTCTTTGATTATGACTCCATTGATTCCATGAAATTAAATATTCTTTATCATTATATTTATACCTCATTAGCTTATTTTGGCTTTCATATTCATTTAATAATTCACAATCTTCATTTTTAAATTGAAGTTTAACCCATTCAGGATTTAAACAATGTTTAATTAATCGCGGAATATCTGACATCATCTATATATAGATTCTTTTATAAAAGATAAAAAAATAAATTATTTTAAAATTAATGTTAATTTTTTAATGATTTATTTTTTAATGCATCGTCTATATATAGATGTAACAAAAAAAGGTACACAATCCTTCCACATATACTACGTACACAACACTTCCACATATAATACTATGATTTATATTTTAATGTATCGTCTATATATAGATGTAACAAAAAAAGTCACACAACCCGCACTCATATACTACTTTTTTTTCTAAATATCTTAAATATCTGGATCACTCACTGATACGATGAATTAAAAGATAAAAATAATACAAACTCAACTAAGTTTCCTGTCTTTCAACCAAAAAATATTATGCAATTTAAATTAAATTGTTTATTCAAATATAAAACAAAGATGAAATAATTACAGTTATCATAAACTTTATGAATAACTCTGTAATTGGTTCAGATTTTCGTAAAAATATTTTTATTAAAATCGATAAGAATATGTTTACCTACTATCATCACATATCTATAAACAAGAGTAGAGTGATTTTTATCATCGAAACTTTTTAAAAGCTGCAAGCTGGAAGTAAAAATCTTGTTTTTTTTTTTCTGAGTTAGTTGTAGAACTATTGATTCCCGAGTTATCATTGTGATGTAGAAGGATGTCAATGTACTGACTGAAGGATATGAAGTGAATTGAATTTCATTGAATTTCAATTTGATCAAATTTGTTGAAATTATATGAATGTGTCAACATCTGTATCACTCTCCTTCACTTCTTCCCTATTTTTTCGAGAACGAAGCTAGCTCAGCTTTCGCTGAGCGAATTGACACTTTTGATGCCCTAAACGTACATACTCTCAAATTTATTGAAAAAAATAATACTACCTAAACTCGTATATTCTTATTTTAAATATGATATTATCCTTAGAATCCACACTAGAATATATTTAAATCAACTTTTAAAAAAGTTCGAATCCTGTGCGTCTCACTTTTTAAATTTTCCAAATGGAAAATTATATTCTCTTAAAACGAAAACAATTTTCCGAATTGACATCCTTAGTGTATTTCAATCAAAATAGTTGTAATTTTCATTATATTATTAAATCAATGGTTTCTTTCATTCAAAGATTTGTGAAAATGATATCATGGTTTCTGGGAAATTGGGGAAGAATGTATGTATCAAATATTTGATGAGGAATAAGTTATTTGGTCTATAATTCTATTCAAAAGTTTTATTGAAATAGTTGAATGTTGACGTTTGTATAATGCCGCATCTCTGAGTATAAAATATTACATGTCTCAATATCTTTCTATTTAAGGTATTCAAACACTCATTATTGCATTATAGCAACAAATTCTGAAAGTAAATTTCAAAATGATAATGTTTGGCTCCTTTATTTTCTTGGTATTTAAAATATAATGACCAATTTATATTATACAATTCGTGTGGCTAATTAGATCGATTATATTTCTTATTGAAAGACTAGTATTCAAATGATCTTATGAGTTTATTGGCAATTTATATGAATATGTATATCAAATTCATCTCAAATTTTGTTTAAAAATAGTTTTAACTTTTTAATATTGAATGTGATTTTAAAATTTCTCCATTTCTATGTTGTCATTCAATGAGTGATTGTTTCTTATTCCATTTAAAACATTTTTTAAATTCTAAAAATATTTTAAAAATAAGAAATTATTAAAAATTTTGATGATTTTTTTGAATAAAATTAGGGAATTTGATATTTTTTAGAAAAATAAAATCGAACACATATCATTATTTTTTCTCTAAATTATATGTTGAGTTAAATTTAGTGGATAATTTTATCATCAATGATTTTTAATTTCCTAAAAACCGTGATGATGCGAGATGTTTAGTTCCAATTTATTTCCATGGGCCCAAAGTATCTATCATTATATTCATTTTTAATTTCGTAGACCGAAATTTTATACTCTAGCGAAAAAATGTCAAAAGATAAGTTAAGTCCCTAAGATTCTCTGTTAAACAACAGAAGAAAACTTGTCAAACATCAGGAATTCATTTTCAAACAAGTTAGCAATCAAAATTTAATCCCTTTCAAATTACAGATAATTTAGCTTTAATTTTTTTCATTTTATACCAAACTTTAATAAACATCTGATAAAAATAGTCCAAGAAGACGATAAATAAACAAACAAAAAAAACAAAAGATGAGCAAAGTTTGGCAGGAAACTGTCCTAAACAGTAGCTCTGCTCCTCTTTTTGTAGTAATTGATGAAGATTTCATAAGACAAAAATCCAATGAAGAACATATCCGAGCCCAATTTCCCGATATCGATAACTTAATAGAAAATATAATTCATTGCAAAGAGATAAATGATAATACCCCAAAAATGAAAAACAAAACAAAACAATTATTTAGAATATTGCATCACGATTACTTGGAAACCGAAAAAGGAATGGATAAGCTGATAGAAAAATACAATACCATTATATTACCTAGATGCCCACGCGTTTACTGCAATGGAGCTAGGTGCTTCCCTGTAGGCGTGGAAAGAGATGGGGCAATCTTTCCGAAAATGATTTGCCCAGCATGTCGCGAAGTTTATAATTTACCTCCACCATTTGATGTTTTACAGAATGGTGAGTCATTTGGTGATAGATATATTGAGAAATTCTTTGAAAAATACAAAGATAAATTACCAGAACGAGTAGAAGAGAAGCCATATGAGCCTCGGATTTTCGGATTTAAGGTAAAGCAGCATAAGGAACCATTGGAACCAGAAAAATTAGAGAAATAAAATGTTATTTAATCTATCATAGAATAATATGACCAATTCGTGAATTATCTATTTCTTAACAAAAAAGTTACTCAAAAATTGAACATCATATTTACTTCAAGATTTCTGTTAAATTGCAAAATTTTTGATTCGATAAGAGGCGGTAATTTCCTGAATATACCTACCAATATATCATACTTCAGTTACATTATTCGAATATACACAGTTTTTTTCATTTACGGAAAGTAATCTCGGTTAGATGAGATATTAAAATTGAAAAATTAATTATTTACAATGTTTTCCTTCAACACAGAATGAGCGCAATGCATTTCAGAGCGAGTGGAAACTTTTGGACTGATAAAAAAATGGAAGATATAAATTGCTATTTTATATATTTGAGAATAAAATTACAGATATTTATAAATACCGTAGCGAATGCATACATATATTATATGGAATAAGGCTTACATTCCTCTTTCTTCACGGATTTTCTTAATGAGGCGCAATAAATATGGTCCTTCACCATCAGCAACTTGTGGAAGTGCTTCTTCGATGTCAGATATTTCTGTAGATGGATCAAGCTCGAGGTCGAGCATTTCTTTTGTTAAATCCAATTTGCAGTATTTTAAGAAGTCATAGACAATTGCAAGAAGAACAGCATCTTCTTCTTTTTCGAGTTTAATTGGTTGAATTTCTTTTGTGTTTTCGATCTTTTTATCAAAGGCTAATTTTCTTGCCTGCTTAACAGACTCTATGCGCAAAAGATTGCGTATCATTGCGAGAAATCCATGTTTCTCTAATTCGTCGTTAATTGCTTGTTTGAGCGCTGCTTCTTTATCAACTTCTGCCATTTTACATTTATAAACGTCCTTCATTATCCAGATTGAAATAAAACTGCACATCAATCAATTATCTAATACATTTTACAAACTATATCACACCCAAAGATAGCATGCTGCTTGATCGGATTGTCAGAGGTGTATGTTTTAGGTGAACACAATTGAATTTGATTTATTTGTTAATACTTACAGCATTTCGTAAGCTTACATAACTATTATTAGCTATATTATATATTCACAAGAATCGAAAGTAAAATTACATGTTTAAAATATTGAATTCGAATGAATTTTGATTAATTAGAAGTAACTTCTTGCCTACCATACTAAGTCTTTATTTCTAATATAAGTACTTCTAAATACTCATTGATTTGAGGCATATTATTGATAATTTCGGTAAAATTTTAATCTGTGATGCTAATTTTTAAACAAAATCATCAAAGAAAAGAAACAAAACTATAAAAATGTAACATAACATCCAATTAAAGCATAAAAATTAATCTTTATTTTTCTATTCTTTGATCACAGAGGTGATATCAGCTGTATATATTGGGATTGTTGTAGAAGATGGGACACGGATATGGATTGTAGCAATATTCTCCTTTCCGACCTTTTCAAATATGCCATTGATAACATCACAAGCATTATCAGCAATATTGGAAGCTTCCCAGCTAAGCTTACCAACAGGGGCAGCGAACTTGTTGCCCTTTGGAAGAATAACTGGAGAAGAATCAAGTGCTTTAGTAATTGGAGTGATGAGATCGTCACCTGCTAAATCTACGAGGATTGGGATTTTCTTTTTCTCATAGAACTCTTTTGTAAGCTTTGTATTCAAAACATGTGAAACTCTGGAATCTGCAAGGAAGCATCTTGTGTCTTTGATAAGTTGGCGAGCATTATATGTCTCTTTGAAGCGTTCTCCAAACTTCTTAACTGAATATGTCTTAATCTCTACTGGATAATCAAGCTCACGTATTTTTTCTTTCCATTCCTGATGTGGATCTTTTGTAATTAGAACAACACGAAGGGTGGAACCTTCATAGAGATTGTGTCTAACTGGAATTGCAAATGGATACTGAGTTTTGTATTCATAATTTTGCCATAAAGTGAAGATAAGTGTAACATTTGGGTCTTCGGCAACGAGTTCATCCTCATCCTTCTTTGTGAGCTGTTGGAGAGCTTGAAATCCGAGCTCAACCTGCTTGTGGAGATCAAAAGTCATTGTGACCTCAAAATTTTAGGCTCTAGCTTGGAGACACAAGACTTAATTTAAGGACTCTCATATGCTTGAAAACTTATAGAAATACATTATATCAAACTTATTTAGCTGAAATAACAGATTTGCAGATTGCAAATTTTTTTCTTTTCGAATTATATGATTGTCAGCATAAAAATAACTAAGGTATACATGAACAAACCCAAATTGAGAACCACGGCTTGATAGCTCAAATGTGAATTTGAGCTATCTCAAAATCATTGAGTTCATTATACGAAAATATGTATTATAAACCATTTAAAAATATCAATAGTAATATTTAGCTTAAAAGTATCATTTTTTTAAATTACCATTTTGGAGAAATGATTCGAACTTCTTCGATGGTAAATCTTTTAAACGATGATGATTGGAAACTTACTTTTACAGAACCCGGACTTCCAAAGAAAAAGAGTCAATTCCAAGCCGCACCCGAAAATTTCTATTCACAATCAGCAATTGCACCGAATTCAACTAAATTATTTTATTTCACACACTTTAACAAATGGAGGAGACTATGGGAATACATTCTTTTAATTGTTTCTGCTTTTCCATTTTTCGAAATATCATTTATCTCAATTTTTTGTCCTCATGTTAGCATGCTTAGATTCTCTCCACTCTTTATATTTGATATCATATTTGGAATTGATATTTTTATCTCATCTCGCACAGCATATCTTTCACAAGGTGTTTCTGTTACGGATCCTGATAGAATATTTAGACGATATGGTAAAGTTTGGTTTGTATTTCAAATAATCGCTACAATTCCACTTAATTGGATTGGAGTTCTTAAAGGAAATCGATATTTATACTTAGCTTTATCAATCAACAAAGTAATTCGCCTCAGAAGAGCATTTACAGCTGCCGAATACCTACTTAAATTCCTAATGTACCATAATTGGAAATCTATAATGTTTCCTTTTTGTTTATTACTTTTATGCTTTGCACATTTCTTCGCCTGCTTATTTTACATCTGTGCCGTATTCGAGGATACAATGGAATCATGGATAGGCATGTCTGGCTGGGATTATTTGTCTCCTCCTCAATTATACGTTGTCAGCGTTTATTTCGTCATGACAACAATCCTTACTATTGGTTACGGTGATCTAACTCCGAAGACATCACCAGAGACCATTTTGGTCATATTTATACAGCTTTTGGGCGTTTTAGTCAACGCATACATTTTATCTATCATGGTTTCGATTCTTATTGATCCAATTGGTAATGAATTCATTCAGAGATTCATTAGTCTCTCTGATTACATGCATTTTAAGCATGTTCCACCAAATGTCAGAACAGATATTAAACAATTTCTTCAAATGAAGTGGCAAACTAACCATGGAACGGAGGACCCTGAAAATGTATATAAGTTCATACCAGAAACAGTAAGAGATAACATAAAAAGAGATATTTGCAGAAAATGTTTCTCAAAAGTCTCAATTTTGAGAATGGCGTCCGAATCTCTGCTAACAGAAATGGCCAATTTACTAAGAGATATCAGTTTCTCACCCGGAGAAGTCATTGTAAAGCAAAATGTGATGACTCATGACATGATATTATTAAATAACGGAATAATTGATATATATGCTGATGGTAGCCTTGTAGCATCCAGTGCTTGCGACGATGGCCTTGTTCTTGGCGAACAAGAATTATTTGTTGATACACCTCGAGCTGCGACTGTTATTGCAGTTACATATGTTGAAGGATGGATAATTACTCGTGATTTCCTTATCCAATGCCTTGCTCATCGTCACGAACTCAAAAAAGATTTATTAGACTCTGCTTTAGTTTGTTTCCCAGCCAAATACAAGGAAATCAGGAAACTTCTCTCCGGAGAAAACATTAGAGCTACTGTTGAAAGAAATAAGGCCAAACAAAGAGAAATGATTCAAAGAATTCTTAGGAACCATAGAGATCAAAACAACACTGATGATGATTCTTCATCAGACTCAAACCATCTTGGTATTTAACCATTCTTTATCTTCCAAATTTGTTTGTTTGTTAATTAGTAAATTGTCTTTTATTTATTAAGAAAAATAACTTATCCCCTAATATGGATTCATTAATGCTGTCATTTTATAGTTTAGATTCCTTATCAATTAGAAATAATGTAATGAAATTCATTAAAGAAGAGGACACAATTCATTATTGTATACTTAATAGCAACCTTCTATACAAGTTATATATGAAAAATGAGAGATTACAAAAAGCGATTTCCCGAATTTTGAAATCCTGAAAAATAATGTCTGTCTTTTAAAATTCTTCACCGTTTTTACGATATATCAAAGCTGAGAAATTGATATGCTAAACAATATGAGATACAAAATTTCAAAAAAATTAGTAGTAGTATATGACGGGTTGTGTGACTTTTTTTGTAAACGTAAGAATTCATACAATATTGAACGATTTTGTATCATTTTTTTTAACATATGAAGTAAAAAATGTATGATTCTTACGGTTTTTATTCTTACGTTTTTGAATAAATCAAGATTTAAAAAATTGACTTCTTACGTAAAATTAAAACTAAGTTAAATTTATTTTTTTTTATTTTTTATTTTATAATAAATGAGTGGATCAAGATTCGTAACCGTCAATCAATTAATGGATGCTCTTTCACCAATTCTTGAAAATGTTAAACAAGTAGATGTTTATTTCGATGATTATGTAGAAAGTTTATATTATAAAGGTAAGTTTAATATTAAACCTATTGCTTTTGCATTTGATAATAAATTAATTGAAAATGCAAAAATTTGGGAATTAATTCCGAATATTGAATTTATAACAAATATTAATGATAAATGGTTTAAACGAATTCTAACCACAAAAGTTCTTTGTAAATTAATGATCAAAACTGAGGAAAAAGAATTTAACGGGTTTAAATATCATCCAAATAAAGTTTCAGAACTAGAAAATGAAAAACTTCAGAAAAAATTAAACGATAGACTTTCAAATGATCGTATTGAAAAAATAAATAAACTAGCAGAAGTTGCATTTAATAATGAAATATTTGATGAATATAACCTTGAACTCAGTGATGGGCTTTAAGGACCCGGGCTCAACGAGTCATGATTTATGAAATCAATAATTTGATTTATTCGCTCTTCAATAATTTCTATTCTTTTTGTTAAATCATCTATTTTCATTAATGAGGTGATTCTTGATTGAGGAATAGATTTCAAACTAACCACTCCTTTTATTTTTGAAATTTTGAATCCATCAACTTTAAACATTTTATTCAATTTACATGTTGTCAATTCTTCAAATAATTTTTTATTATTAGCATAATAGTCATTAAATTCTTCAACAGATGAAAAAATTTTTGTTTCAGTAATTGGTTTAACAACGTTTATTTTTTGTTGAACATTTTCACTTTCATTTATTTCTTCCTCCTCTGTTTCATTTATTTTTAACATCGGTTTCATTTATCATTAAATAAAAATTAGAATATAAGTGATGAAAATGAATTTTTAATTAATATTAAATCAGAAATGGCTGCAGGATTCTTTAAAAAATTATGGGAAGAAATTAAGAAAGCTGCGGGTTGGGTTCATCAAAAGATTATTAAACCCATTGCAAACTTTTTGGCACCAGTAGCGAAAACGGCAGGAACTATCATAGGTGGAGTATTAGGTACAAAAGCAGGTAATCCGGCAATGGGAGCACAAGCAGGTAACGCAATTGGTGGAATTGCTGAAGGAATACTTAATAAAATAGGAGGTAGATAGTGGAAAAATAAATAAATATTATTTTTATCTTAGTATCGGTTGAAGTCTTTGATAAACTTTTTCTCCTTTATTTAATATTTCTCTTATTGGGGCGGCTTTTGGTGTTATTGATTCAGCAACGTCACTAATTGCTTCTTTATTTCTTAAATATTCCAATTTTGCTCCTTTCTTCATTGTTTCCCAAACTTTATGCGCTCCTCTTTTTACTTTATCCCACAGTTTCTTAAATATACCTGCAGCCATAGTTGATTATTTCATTAAAATTAAAAATTCATTTTCATTTTTAATTTTGATTTTTTATTTATTAATAAATGACGACTAACTATTTGGTGCCAAACACTAAACCGATTAATGGAAATGTGTTTCATTCATTCGAAAAGATAAATGAAATATTCGCGAAGAATGATGGTAGAAGATATTATAGAGAACTTGAAAGTTCATGCTATGACTCTGATACTCCATATTTTGATGATAAACAAACTCATTTAAGAATTACAAATCCAGCTCATGATGTGAACCAATTAGGTGACACATATATTAAACGCAAAGTTAAAGCAACTCTAGTTTCAAATAAAGCTTTCACATGTGATGCCGCTTTTAAATGTATGCGTTTATTCGTTGGTTACAAATCATCAAATCAAAGCTTTAAACAATTAGAAGTAGAAACCGAAAGAGGTGATGCCGGTTATCTTCAGATGGATTGCGCCCGCGAATCTTTCGCATTTGCAACATAAGTTAGTATGGGTAACTTGGGTACGGCGGCACTGCGTTCCACCTTACCCAACTTAACCTTAAATATTTACAAAACCGTCTGACACATAAATGACTTCACTAATGACTTCACTAACGACTTCACTAACATTTTCACTAACGACTTCACTACTGTAAAAATAAACGTTCTCACTAACGTTCCCACTAATGTTCTCATTTACAAAAGTATTGCAGCGCTTCCCATTGCTGTGCTTCACACAATAGTTCATATTCTTCAGTATCGCTGCTGTCACTCCAATCGTCAGAGTCAAAGTCACTGTCAAAATAAATGTTAGTAAGTTTTGACAAAGCTAATGAAACACGCTTACCGTTTGTATCTATTGCTTTTATATATCTCCCATTATGTTTGTTGTCATAAACGCTCAAACTAACTTTACCCTTTCTCCCTCGTATCTGATAGAATGTATTTTCGCGAGGAACGAAGAACAAATTCTTGAACTCATGACCGTTGTAGTTTGTTATCTCAATAGTTTTCGTCATTTATATAAAAATAAAATAAAAAATAAACTTAAAAATTAATGATATCACCACTCCCACACGTATGAAAACATCCATTTAAATTTAGGGTAGAAGGTTAGATCTAACCTCATTTCTACCCTCATTTCTACCCTGTTGAATTCATTGCTTTATAACTCTCTTCCTTGGTTTCTTTTTAGTTGCTTTCTTCACGTCTGTCTCCAACTTGACTGTCTTTCTTCTTCGGCCGTAATGATACCAGTTACTTCCACCAGTCAATGGGTCAAATGGTCTTTCGTAAGGGTTTCCATACATTCCATAGGGACCATACGGAAGAACTACTGGTGGAGAAGAAACATTTTCTTTAGTTCCATCGACTCTATTTAAATGCATTGTTTCACCTTTCATCTGGTCATTAAAGTCTTTTGCGTGTTTTGCAAACTCATCGTCCTTTCCTAAAGCATTTTCTGACTCAGTCGCAACCAAATTGGATGCTTTATTTATGAGCCCTATTTTATTTAATCTTAACTTCTTTGCAACCCAGCCTCCAATCTTCCCTTTATTTGCATCTAATGTCTTTGAAACCCTTCCTTCACTCATTTTATTTACTGCGTCATAAGCTCCAAGTGCTTTTGCTCCAAATGCTAATGCTTTTGTTCCCATTGCGCCTAAAGCTGCCCAAGCTACCATTTACCCCATATTAAAATCATCTCTCTTCAATATTATCTCATAAAAGTTCTCGTTACTGGAGAAAGTCAATGAAACGTAAGCGTTCTCACGGGCTTCGCCCTCACCGCTTTGCGGTCTATCTAACTTCTTTCTTATATCATCTATACGCTTCAAAATGTCTGAACAATTGCTAACATCTTCTACAACAGTTATTTCATCATGAATGACCTTCAAGAACAAGCTCATTTAATATGCAATTAAAATCATCTCAATAATGAGTCCATCCTTTCCATCTTTAGGTAGCACAACATCTTTCATTGAAGAAGGTTCGACAAGTCTTATGTTAAACTTACTGACAAAGTTTGTTATACTATAATGCTTCGGCGGCGAATACATATAGTTTGAAAGACATAATATAGATTCTTCAGCAAATTCACTTATACTGGATTTTATAACAATGTTCTCACGAGACCAAATACCACCAATTGACAATCTTGTAAGCAATCCTGCTGAGCCTTCAACTGTAAACGTCGATGGTAACATTCCACGAAGGTCATCTATTGACATCGTTGAGTCACTGTATTTAAATATTTTCTTAAAGCAATCGTCATTATCTAACCATGCAATAGCTTTGAAGTTTTCATTCGAATATACATCTGCTTCATTAAATGTAAAACCTGACTTCTTTGCAGAGATGACTTTAAAATCTATTGAGTTTGTTTCAAAATTATATGCTATGGTAACTTCTGAAGGTAATGGATGCCCTTCCGCAGTCAGTTGTTCTCTCACTACCGTTTGAAGCTTTGTGTTAAAAACTTTCATGTCATCTCCTGTGTCTAGGTTCACATACACAGCAACAGGGAAACTATCTTGCTTCTTTGTTTCATCATTATACCTCAAAACATTAAAGTTCTTCAATAATATTGTTCTTCCTGCTGGAATACTTCGAACTTGTCTGATTTCAATAGCTTTCTCACCTCCTACATACTCTACCCAGTGCCTTGGATATTCATAAGTATACTGACTTTCTTGAATTTTGGTTGGTTTCATCATAACGTGTTCATAGTATATCTTTATACTCTTGTCAGTTAGACTCGGTGCTATGTTCTGAATATTTCTGACTTGCATTTTTAATGGAGATAAAATGAAGCATTTAATACATGACGTAGATGAAGACATGAATGAAACTACAGACAAACTTAACTCTTCTCTTATTCTTCCTTTCAGTAAGGACTATGAGTTCTGTTCAAATGGTGTTTATTTCTATTGTGGAAAGATGGGTTCAGGTAAGACATTTAACCTCATTCGTCATATACTCATAACAGAGCGTTTAGGAAACGACTCTTACTATGACCAAATCATTATATCAGCAACTTCAGACTCTATGGATTCAACAGCGAAAACATTTATGTCAAAAGTTCAAGCCTCTGTCGTTAAAGTTTCAGACAGTGAACTCATTGAATTTCTTCAACGTTACATTCGACGTAAGAGGAAATATTATGCCATTGTTGAATTTATACAGTCAGGAATGCAAAAGACTTCAGAAGAGATGGAAAGAATTATTGACAAACACCACTTACGTCAATACTCAGGAGTTTACGATATGAAACGACTGACAAACTACATTCTATCAAAACTTTCAAAATACCCCTTCAAAAAGTATCCTTCAAACACTCTGCTCGTTTGTGACGACTTCGCCGGAAAAGGTTTAGTGTCAAAGCCTGACTCACCATTAGCTAACATCATAACTAAAGTCAGACATTACCATTTAACTGTAGCAATACTTATGCAAACATGGCGTTTCCTTGCTTTAAACATAAAACGTCTCATAACTGACTTCGTTATCTTTCAAGGTTTCTCACGCTATGATATTGAACTCATTTGGAAACAGTCAGGTATAACATTACCTTTTGAAGAAATTTGGGAAGCATATAAGTCTCTCATCTCTCCTCGTTCATACCTTGAGATTCATATCATGACTAATACCATTAAAGTCAAAAATATTCCATGGGAACGACCAACATTGTTTTAAATCTTATGCTTCAATTGACTGATGGTAAACAAATTCCATGCATCTCTGTCGCCATTTCTGTTAATATTTTTGCTGTCATTCATATCATCCACTTCCCATCCGTTAGCTTTTGAGGATATGCGTTAGAATAGCTGTTCTTAAATGAAGGCTTTTCACCTTTGAGAGCATAAACTCTATAACTTTCTGCATACTTTATGTTTGAACCTCCTGAGCCATCATTGACATAAATTTTTATAGGCTTCCACCCTTTGTTCATGTTCCTGCTTCTTCCCTTAGCTCTTTTGTTCAGTAGTTCTACATCTTTATACACAGCACCTGTCTCAGTGAATTCAACAATATTTTCATTCGTTAGCTTTACATTCAAACCCTTGTCGAGTATATTGTTCATTTCATACATATAAAAGGTTTTTATTCTATATGAAATGAGAAGCAAATCCATCTTAGCTGGTGCCGTAAATGTTCCAATTGAACCAACATCAAATGTTGACTCACGAACGACAAACAATATTGTCATAAAGAACTATAGTTCAGAGTGTTTGAAAGAACCAGAACCAGAGCTGAAATCCGTGAATTTAAACACAACTTCAAACGCTAACGCTACATCAGATGTTAAGTTAGAGTATCCACCACTGGACCAAATTCTTTCAAGAGAAGCCAACGACAACCCTTACACAAATGTTCAAACAAATCCTTCAGATAACGTAGACCATTACCTTCTTCAGTTATACCAAACTATCTTACTCAAAGACGATAAGAAGCTTTTGGTAAATCTTATAAGTAAGAACCAAATAATTCTAACAAAGGAGGATTTAGAAAATGTTATCTCACGAATAACAGGAAAGCAATGTGTCATTGACTATCTCGACCCTGAAATCGAATGCTGTGGTCAAACGCCAATATTCATGAAAATAGGTAACATCCGCATCATTGAAACACCAGGAACTACAGGAGTTGAGTTTAAGTATAAATATTCGAACGAGTATACAAAACTTTCAACAGAATATAAACTTTGCTTGAAATATGTTTTAGTAAATTAAAGCAATTTGTAATATCTATCCAAAACTTCTTCAACAGTATCGAACTCATCTTCATAATGCAAACCTAATCTTATTGACTTGGTGCAGTTTTCACTAACACAATATTTTTCTGTTCTCTTGACTGACATAACTAACTCATTTGTTTCATCAAACAGCAACAACCAAAGTTCATGACCTAATACATAACATTCATACTTTATATTTTTAGCTCTGAGTTCTCTTGTAAGCTGTTGCATTTAATATTTTCTAAAAAGTCAACTTCAACAGTCATTCGCACTGGTGCCTTCAGTTCTACAGGCTCTCCTTGAAAGTCAACAAGTCTGAATTGCATGTCTTTCAAATTATGAGGACTAATGCGAACCCATTTACCTAAATGAGTTGCTATGACAGGAACATTTGGAATGAACATTGAATTGACTGCATAACAGAAGGATTTATATTCTACTGAACCTTTACTATTAACTCCTGAAATACCTGTGACATTAGCTATTTTAGACTCAATGTATAAACAATTGCCATAACATACGTATGGAACAGATTTCATCTCAATCGTTTTGTCAACACTTTTCAAAGGAAATGTCATATGGTATGCTCCTAAAAGAAGTTGAACTCTATGACTCATTCGTGTTATCTTGAACTCTTTCTTGCTACTGAACTTCAATGTTCCCTCAGAAGAGAGTTCGACATCTATGTTGTCAATAGTTTCTTCATTTATGAGAGCATTTAACACTCCAGCAATTTTATCTATTCTATACTCTGCTCTGTTAGGAAATGTTATAAAACTTCTTTTGTCATCTATTTCAATCTCTATGAAATCTGTTTCATCTGTTATGACAAAAGTTGCGATAGTATTGAAGTCAACCATTCTGAATGCAAGCGCTTCATTCTGAAGACCTAAGTTTGTTTGTAGCTTTACTGTCCCGTATTCGTTTGGGTCTGTACTTTGCAAATAGAACAACATTTTATTCTCATTAAAATATGACTATTGCTGCATATGCGTATGAAACAAATGAAGCAAGAAGAGCACATGAACTAGTAAACGAAAACTCAACTTTAACCATTGAAGGCAATGATTTAGTCATTGACGATGGAAAAACTAAAAAAGTCATTGATTTCGATACTTTTAACACTTATGACCCATTCATTACAACAAGCAAGGTTCCCATCATAAATGATGGAACGGTGCAATATATAAATTCAACAGTAGATGCCTCATTAGTGAAAGTATTAAATGTTCTCATTGAATTGTTAAAGAGCTTTCGATTTGACGACAACATTAAATGCTTAAAGAATTTAGTCATGAATGAGAAACAAATTCTTGGCGTTGCTGGTAGCAGTAATGATGTACACCTTATGACATTAGAATATTATAACGAACATAAAGATGAACTGAAAGGAGAGAAGGGTGACACCGGACCTCAAGGACCTCAAGGACCACAAGGAATACAAGGAATACAAGGAATACAAGGAATACAAGGACCTCAAGGCGAGAACGGTTTGGATGGTGTAGATGGAAAGGATGGAAAAACTGCTAAATCATGGATATGGAACCTTATAAATACTGGTTTAACAGCTGCTTCATATGGAGTTCTTCAATACCAAATCGGAAAGATATGGGCGGTACTTGGTGAAGAAGTTTTAAATGACGTTAAAAATGCTTTGAACTTCATTTCAAATGGTTCGGATACTATTAAAACTTTATCTGGTTGGATGCAAGAAACAAGGAGTCAAATAGATACTGTAAGACGTATAGCAAACAATGCACGTACGGGATTGGATACTTTACGACAAGCACAAAATACACTAAAGGAAGCAAATGATATTCTTGGCTCAGTATCAGACATGCATGAAGATTGGCTTAAAGGTATTGACAAATCTTTAAAAAATCACAGTCAGTCTATTGCTGACTACAAGAAAAGTATAGATTTTTTACATAGTGCTATGGACGTACATGATGGAAGCATAAGGAACTTACTTAATGCTAACAATAACTTACCAGGAACTATTAAAGCATTTATAAAGTCCTTTGTAAAACCCGGTGCTCTAACATTTAGGTCTTTGAGAGCAAGAGCATTGAAGTCAAGAGATGCAGAAACTCCAACAGAACCTACAGAAGGAACTGAAACAACAGAAACTCCAAAAGAACCACCAAAACCAACAGCTAATGAAATATTGTTCGAATATTTTCCAAGGTACTCTGTTCTCATTGCATACATTCAAGAAATACTTAAGAAAGCAGACTTGACTTTAGGAGATGATGAAAGTTCTGTATATCTTTCGTTCCAGTTTCAAATAGCAGAACTTTTGAGACAGATATGCTTAATGTATGACAACATCTCTGATTTCACAAGATATGATGACGACCATGACCCCGAACACGGTGAAGAAGAAGTTTTACAAACATCCATTAAGACAGGAAAGGTTTTAACACAAAGTCTCATTATTGACACCAAAGATGGCGAAGTGGACGTTCTTCAAGAGCTGAAGAAAAATACTTCTTCGGGAGGTGGTGGTAGGCATGAACTTGAAATAAATGAGATAGAAGAGAAATTAGCCGAAAAAGCAGATAAAGAACATAAACACAATATCTCCGATATAAATGAACTTCAAGCTACATTAAATAGTAAAGCGGACAAAAATGAACTTGACGCAATGAACAAAGTTTTGAAATCTCATAAACACAATATCTCCGATATAAATGAACTTCAAGCTACATTAAATAGTAAAGCGGACAAGAACCATGTTCATTATATAAGTTCAGATGAACAGATTATAACGGACTATCATGGATATTTAACACGAAGTGATGAAGCGAAGACAAAAAATGTTAATGAAAGAAGATATAAATACATTCGTGCTAAAGGTTATGACATAAGCTGTACTGTACAGTATGATGTAGCTAAAGCACCAGAAGCATTTGGTTATACCGGTGAAATTTATGCCTCTACTTTCAATGTTAACGGTGTACTAGTTGAACCAAGATTTACTTTGAGAGTTAAGTCAAAAATAACGTTTGAAGATGCTATTAAAAGTAAAGCTGACAAAGATGAACTCGAAGCAATGAACAAAGTTTTGAAATCTCATAAACACAATATCTCCGATATAAATGAACTTCAAGCTACATTAAATAGTAAAGCGGATATTAAACATACACATAAATCCTTCACTACTGTTAGAGCAGACGATGTAATATTGAACTTTGACCTTGGTTCAAGTGCACCTTTAGAGAATCCAAGTACAAGCGTAAAAGATACACTAAACAATTTAGATAAGAGTTGCAGGAATATTGAAAGTCATGCCAGAAACTTTGAAGCACATGAACTACCCGCAATGTTAGATAAGAAAGCAGACAAAACTTATGTGGATGCAGAACTAACAAAGAAATTTTCGAAACCGGATACAATGGCATTTACAACAGAAATTATAAATGGTGAACCAGCAACTCCATTTGAATTTGTTAGAGGTCTTCAACCAGATACTTTTGAATTTTTCTTGGATAATTCTATTGAACTAACATTACATTATAAAAGTGGAACAAATGCAACATTTCATCCGGGAGATACATTCCAAATGGTATTTAATGACATAAGTTCTTTAGAATATGTTTATAGAGTTATGAGCATATATGATTTAATATATCCTATAGGAGCTGTTTATACGTCTATGAATCCAATAAATCCAAACACTTTATTTGGTGGTAGATGGTATGAAATAGTTGACAGTTTTCCATTCTACACTAATACGCAGTCAATGAAGATGGGAGGTTCAAAGAAAATAGGTATTGAAAACCTTCCTTCACATATGCATAGGTTCAGTGGAAGAACATCTGTGGAAGGAAACCATTCACATTCAATAACAAAAAGAGGTTATAGAAATCTTGCGGCAGGTTCGGATAGACAGGGAATGGATAGATATGATATTTCAACTGACCCAGTAGATTCAAGCACAGGTATTTTCTGTGGAACCGCAGGAAATCATACACATGTTGTAGCTGGTATTACAGACCCAGCAGGTAATGGAAAAGATTATATGCCTCCTTATATAACAATACACGCTTGGATACGAGTTGGTTAAAATCTTTAACTTTACATAAATGAGCTTGAAAGAAGTATTCGAACAACATCCATGGAGGTCATTTAAGAAGTTCAATGAAGCTGCAAAGAGTCGGGGATTTACTAACAGAGCTGAAGTGAAAAAGTTCTTTGACAAAAATGTTGTACATCAAACAAAAATAAACCCTTACGACTACTTTTTACCAATTTACTCCAACACTCCTGACGCATACCAATTTGACACTCTCATTCAAAGCAGAAAAGGAGGACATAAACCATTCCTCATCTTCATAAATGTTAACACTCGTAAAGCATATGCATATCCAATGAAAAATAAAGGAACTCGTGAAGTGTTAAGAGTTTTACAAAAGTTTGTAGCAGAACATAGCCCAAGTACTTTAACATCAGACCAAGACAGTGCATACCTCAGCAACGAAATCACAGATTTTCTCATTAAGCATAACATAACTCACTACACTACTGAAGACCATAACCATAACATACTCGGCATCATAAACCGCTTCATAAGGACTCTCAGAGATTTAAACCAAGAGCGAGACTTTACCGAAGAAACAATGAAACATTTTCTCGAAGTATATAATTCCTCAACACATTCTACAACAGGACATACACCAAATTCAATGACACAACAACAAGAAGAAAAGTATATACAAAAGAAACGAAGTCAAACACAAAATATCAGAAATTCAACACAATTTACCCTCATTCCTGGTACAAAAGTTCGTGTAGTTCTTGACGACAAACCGTTGACAAAGAAACGTTTAAGGTTAAGTAGAAACTATTATATCGTAGACTCTACGCAAGGTAATGGATATCTTATAAAAGCTGCTGACGACTCTATTGCACTTTATCCTCGTCAGAAATTAGTCGAAAGTAGTAATGGCAAACTTGCTGAAACCATTGACGAAGCAAAGCGAGGAGTGGTTATTGAAATACTTGGCTATAACACAAACGATGGAGATATAAAAATTGCTCACATTTGCTCACATTTTGGCACTTTTTTTGTACGTTTGTCAAAAAATTGTGAGGAAGATCTCACAAAAATAGTCAAAATGTGAGCAAATTTTGAGAAGTGCTCACATTTTGACATACGATTATTTTCATACGTTTTTTTGATGAATTCTAATAAAACTTCATTACCACTTTCAGAACGAAGCGTAACTTTTCAGCACGTAACGCTCTATCATGTGTAGTGACATATTATTCAAAAAAACTCAGATTGCTTATCTTATAATAACAATTTCATTAGAAAAAATGCACGATTTCACGCTAAAACTTTGAAGCAATTCTTAAATTCGGATAAAAAATCGATATGTATTACACTTTAAACTTCAAAAAATGGTTCAAAATTTAGACTTAGTTTATCTTAACAATATAGCAGATTTTAAGCCGAACAAGTAGGAGTAATAGAAATAGCTCTTGAAAATAATTACAATTAGTAATATGTAAGTCAAAGTTCGAGTATTCTAATAAATAAACGTTCCGGATTTTCTTTACTACAAGAATCAATACTTAATATATAGAAGCAACAGTAAAAACTTATTAGAGATTCAAAAAGAAAGTTGACTAAAGAGAATCTTTTTATATAAGTAATTTTATTTTTTTGAAATACGAGATCGAATAAACATGTATTTTATTTTATTACTATAATAATACGTTTTTACATAGTAAGAAAGTTTAGAGACTGAAATGAAATTAAAAATTGAGAAAAAAATAAAGCTTTTCTATAAAAATTCATATTAATATATAGTATAATGATATTACAATTTATTGATAGTTGTGTTAGAAAAAAGGTACATTCACTATTTTTGACAAAATTTTAAATTTTCATGGGGTTGTAAATCTTATAATAACTAGATGAATAAGGAATAAATCCCAGTATGATGTGCATCATTATATTAAACACTATATGTAAGGCTGGTGATTCTATTAACACTTATGAAGATCTATAGTATTTGAGCAGATAAATTTGATAATTTCCAAAACTCTTATATTTCAAAATTAAAGTGTGCGAATGCATTTAAATGAGAGCAAAAAGAGATTGATGCTGTTAAAACTATGTGTTAATTTGCAATTATTTCGCATCACAAGAACTACCCAGTAAATTCGGCTATCTTTCTTTGCAATTATTCTCCATTATACATATAATATAATGGTTAGGGTTTGAAGAAAAGTTACTAGAGAATTATTGACTTTTGAAATAATGCAGAATTTTACTTGAAGAAATCATTAATTTATGAGTTCCAAATTGCTAAGCATGACGAAGGATCATTAAATTTGCTACAATTAAATACACTTATTGCAGAATTAAGATTTTTGAAATTAAAAGTTTGAAATATTGCCTTTTTGAATAAAAATTTAAATTTTATTATATAATCATGATAATATCTTATAGAAATTAAAAGAAAATATTTTAAACCATTCAAATATTTTGAATGTCTTATCAATTTAAAATATTAAAAGATAGCTTGATTTTATCATCATTAGTTGTTATCAAAGTTTTCTTCTTTTGATGAACAACAGTAAATGATTTGTTAATTACTTGTCTTCCTTTTTCGCAGCAAAATCGAAAGTTATGATGATAATCTTGCTCTCAATTTTGAAACTCTCTGATTTACAAGTAAGCATTCCTTTGGAAAAGCAGTCCTATTCTGTTTTCAAGATATTTTAAAGCCTCAATTTCATACAATGCGCAGATCTATTCGAAATTGCAAGAACTCTCAAGAAAAATGCAGCAGCAAAGAAGATTCCATAGTTTCTAGCATCAAAAATTTACAACCTTAATACAACAGTTAAAGAGAAGCTCGAAAAGAAAATATTTAACCATAAAGCTGGAAACCATTCGATATCTACTATTGGATCTAATAAAAAGTTAATTATAACATATTTAACATGCTATTTGTTGACTTTGTTCCATTATATTACCATATATATCTTTTTGAAATCTAAAATATTTTTACAATTTTAACCATGTGTTGTTGAAACCATATATCAATCTTAGCTAAAGTATAGTTTATGAGTCTGTCACCATCTAACGTATGAATTTTCAAAAATGTCAAATATGTTCATTTTTTCTGTAGATTCAGCCATAATTTCACGTTGTTATACTATTCAACTATTATTTAATATTTTTATCGATTTAAATATATGATGAGATGCTTAGTTCTCCTGGAAATCGATTTTTAATCGCAATTTTAACTTTCCAAAAAAAATTCAAAAATAAAAATCCCTCTCAATTTTCTAAGTTTTATAACTCGCCAAATCTCTAGCCAATTTTTTTGGCCCGTATAAATATTGTTTGGCACTATATAGGGATGCTATTTATCATATTTTCATCCCATTTTACTGTTATCGCCTAGTGAATGTACCTTTGTTAGAAAAAATATACAACTAAAATGTCAGTTTTAAAAAATTTAAAAATTATATTAAAACAATAGTCATTGAGGATGGTTAATTGCAAAAACTCAAGAAACTATCATTATCTCTCTTTGCTTAACACATCTACAACTGGAAACATCATTCCAAATGAAGTTCCTCAGTCTCGTCAAAATTTCTCTCTCATCTACAACAAGCTTAACTCAAAACTCAAGAAACTATCATTATCTCTCTTTGCTTAACACATCTACAACTGGAAACATCATTCCAAATGTTGCATTCAAGAATCCTATTATTATTCTTTCTTTCAATCTTTTATATTTACTCTTTAAATTCTAATATAATATAAATTCTTCATTTCCTTTGTTTAAACTTTTTTCATTTTAATACCATTTTATCAGATAGTAATTTTTGTTTTTCTCTGACCAAAAATCTTCTCAATTTAACTCCACCTTCACAAAAATTCATTGAGTTCTCTCAAAATTCTTGTATTTTTGGTATACTTAAAGTATCATCTTCAAATATTTTTTTGGAGAAAATTGACTTTGCATAATATCGTAATACTTTTTAAGGCAGATAGATTTACCGTAAGTTGAAGAACTTTTAATTTGAACAGAAATTATTCAACAAATATTCTTTTTATTTGATCAATAAATTGTAATATCATTATACTATATATTAATATGAATTTTTATAGAAAAGCTTTATTTTTTTCTCAATTTTTAATTTCATTTCAGTCTCTAAACTTTCTTACTATGTAAAAACGTATTATTATAGTAATAAAATAAAATACATGTTTATTCGATCTCGTATTTCAAAAAAATAAAATTACTTATATAAAAAGATTCTCTTTAGTCAACTTTCTTTTTGAATCTCTAATAAGTTTTTACTGTTGCTTCTATATATTAAGTATTGATTCTTGTAGTAAAGAAAATCCGGAACGTTTATTTATTAGAATACTCGAACTTTGACTTACATATTACTAATTGTAATTATTTTCAAGAGCTATTTCTATTACTCCTACTTGTTCGGCTTAAAATCTGCTATATTGTTAAGATAAACTAAGTCTAAATTTTGAACCATTTTTTGAAGTTTAAAGTGTAATACATATCGATTTTTTATCCGAATTTAAGAATTGCTTCAAAGTTTTAGCGTGAAATCGTGCATTTTTTCTAATGAAATTGTTATTATAAGATAAGCAATCTGAGTTTTTTTGAATAATATGTCACTACACATGATAGAGCGTTACGTGCTGAAAAGTTACGCTTCGTTCTGAAAGTGGTAATGAAGTTTTATTAGAATTCATCAAAAAAACGTATGAAAATAATCGTATGTCAAAATGTGAGCACTTCTCAAAATTTGCTCACATTTTGACTATTTTTGTGAGATCTTCCTCACAATTTTTTGACAAACGTACAAAAAAAGTGCCAAAATGTGAGCAAATGTGAGCAATTTTTATATCTCCAAACGATGACACTTATAAAGTAAGATATGAAGGAGGCGTTGAAGATGTTATACCATCTAAGAACTTGAGAGAGTCAAAGCCAACACATCTGGGACCATTAGAGCGGGAGTACTGGAAAGACAAAAATATGCCAGAAAGAATAAGAAAATTCTTCTAAACTTTTTCGTTGGATGTAAATCAGACATGAACGAGAACAGTCATGATATCATTAATGGTACCATTTATTTTAACATAAAGACGCAAACGGACTCTTTGAGTCCTGAGGTCTTTCAGACCGAAGCGGCGAGGACGAAGTCCATGACCAAAAATAATGTTTAGGGTAGATGGTTAGATCTAACCTCATTTCTACCCTCATTTCTACCCTCTTGAATTTTCATGAATTTTCCCGAAATAAAAAATAAAGTTAGTTTTATTTTATTTATTTTGTATTTTTTGTATGTAAAGACATGATTTCAGGGATTTTTTTGACGAAGTGTCAATCTTCACTTCGTCAAAAAATAACAGTTATCTAATGAAAAAGTGTCATTTTTTGTATTTTTTTTGTATGTAAAGACATGATTTCAGGGATTTTTTTGACGAAGTGTCAATCTTCACTTCGTCAAAAAATAACAGTTATCTAATGAAAAAGTGTCATTTTTTTTGTATTTGACGAGAATGTCGGGTAAATGTTTTGTCATGATTTCATCGTAAATGTTTTGTCAAGACTTCTTCGTATATGTTTTGTCATGACTTCATCGTATATGTTTTGTCATGACTTCTTCATCGTAATGAGCGTAAATGTTTTGTGAAGAATATAGCAACAGTCTGAATTCCGACGGTTGCTTTTTATACAAAATTCATGCAGGAAATTCTTGAGTTTTGGTTGAAAGAATACGGTGGAGCCAAAAGTGGCTCGACCTCAAAACAAGCATTTTATGAGCTTACTAAGGGTGTTATGAATGAATTCAAATGTATTTACATACATCCTGACCTCGTTCATTTTGTTGCTGAATTCAGCAAAAATATAATTTAGGTGAAGAGGTGAGATCTCACCTGTTTTTTCACCTCTTTTTTCACCTCTTGAATTTTCATGACTTCTTCGTAAATGTTTTGTCAAGACTTCATCGTAAATGATTTGTCATGATTTCATCGTAAATGTTTTGTCAAAACTTCTTCGTAATGAACGTACATGTTTTGTCATGATTTCATCGTAAATGTTTTGTCAAAACTTCTTCGTAAATGTTTTGTCAAACATGAACGTAAATGTTTTGTCAAGACTTCTTCGTAATGAGTGTAAAGGACCCAAAAATAATGTTTAGGTGAAGAGGTGAGATCTCACCTGTTTTTTCACCTCTTTTTTCACCTCTTGAATTTTCATGAATTTTCCCGAAATAAAAAATAAAGTTAGTTTTATTTTTTTTATTTTTTTTATTTTGTATAAAAAAATAAAAATGTCAACAATCGGCACAACAGCAATACAAACAACTACAGCACCAAACTCTTTAGTCATGAATCCAACATCTATGTTAGTAGAGATGAAAAGCTTCATTCCTTCTTCATATACTTTTGAAACAGAAATCCAGAAGATAAAGCAAGAACTTTTAACATGTAATTTAGACTGTAGTGCGAAAGATGAAACAAATGAACAGTATCTTTATGAAATGGAGGACATTATTGACCATTTGCCTAAACTACCTGAAATTCAGCAACAAAAACTAACCATTCCTGAATTCGACGAAATTGAAGTCAAAGCAACTGACTCAGTAGAAATAAAGAAGTTCATACGAAAGGTAAACTATGAGTTTCTAGGATTTCATTGCAACCATAAGGTTATGGACAAAGATTGCGACATGGTATATAAGAATGTTTCTGACATATATAAATCTGAAGAATTTAAGACCTACGACAACTTTGTTTCGTTAGTTGCTGAATGTGTATGGCAGATAAGAGATGAAGATAGAAGAGGTAAAGTATGGAACAAACAAATAAGACCCGCTATGTTTGAGATGAAGAGAGCAATTGACGCTTTAGTTGTTTTAGCAGGTAAGGTTTCAGAATATAACGCAAAAATGAACCCGCAATGTTCTAAATGTAAAGCAGCAATGAGGAGATATAACTACTCCGTCAAAGAGATAGAACGTATGAGAAACGACTATGCAGACTTAAGGAAAGAAGCAGAAAAACCAGCAGAAAATAAAATGGACATGTTAGCATTTCTGAACAAAAACTATCCAACAGCAGAAGATTTCCTTCTATCTGACGTCATGAAGAAATATAAAGAAACCTTCGGCATAGTTAAAACATTCGATGTACTAAAAGAAGAAATAGAAGCTACAAAACTGTTTAGGATTTCAAATATACATCGTACAATTCATGTAAAACGCTTGTAAATAGTTATGTGAAAAAACAGGTGAGAAAACAGGTGAGATCTCACCACTTCACCTAAACATTATTTTTGCTGAAAAATGACCAAATTTCATGAATTTCCTTAAGACAGAAAAAATAAAGTTAGTTTTATTTTTATTTATTTTTTTATTTTGTATGTAAAGACATATATGTCAAACATTGAGTTTGAAACAGTTAGAAAGATAGACAATGACACCAAATTGGTTAGAATAGGTGATTTAAACGTAAGATACTCAAAGAAATACAACAAATATTCTTTGTCAGACATTATATTTCCATCTGGAAAGAAAACACACGACTGGGTTAGAAATGCTTCAACTCAGAAAATTTTGACAAGAAATCCTGAGCTTATGATATCAGTAAGATTCTATGGAACTACAGCATATCTCATCGACCAAAGTCTTATACCAATAGTTTTGTTATGGATTGACCCAGTTGTTGGATATAACTTCATAACTTATGGTTCATTCGATACGGAACGTTGCAGTGAAGGCTTACTTTACATCGTTCAGAAACCGAAGGACTTCAACACAAAAAGATATAAGATAGGAAGGACATATAATATAACTCAAAGATATGACTCTACAGTCAATAGAGTCAAGGTTGTGTTCGTTAATGATATGAGAGCCGCAGAAACAGAACTACTCGAAAAGTTTGAGAAAATGTATGGTGCTCCCATAAAAGGTAAAGAAACGTTTGAAGTAGATGAGATAGATAAAGCTATAAAATTATTTGACGAAGTTGCTGAAAAATACATGTAAAGCGTTTATTTTTGGTCTTTTGTGAAAGATAGAAAAAATAACGCTAATTTTATTTTTATTTATTTTTTTTATTTTGTATGTAAAGACAGATATGTCAACAACAGAGAACACAACAACTGCTATCGTTCATGAAGCCATAAATGAAGAATACGAATACATACAGTATAACAAACAATTGAGACTCATTCGTTCAGTCAAAGATGACATGTACCAAATGCAAAGTATAATGAATGCTCTTCTTTCTACAAAGCAAGCATATCATTGGTTTGAAAACCAACAGGCAAAAGAACTTTTAGAAGAATTTCCTCATATGATTGCTTCCCTCGGAAAACCGAGGGAAGAGATTCCGTACGAAAATCGCAAGAATTTGGCACCTGGTTTGAAAGGTTATTATGTTCATAGACTTCTTGTAAATGCTGTAGCAATGTGGGCTTCACCTCGTTATGCTTGTTATATTTTCATGATGTTAGATGAACTATATAAAGCAGAACGTGGAGAGATGGAAAAGAAACTTCAAGCAAAAGATGAAGTCATTGAATCCAAAGACAAAAGCATACAGAAAAGAATACCACGTTCAGTACCAAAAGGAAAGGAAAAGAGTTATAAGTATATGATTTACGCTGAAGAGTTGGAGAAAGAAGAAGATAGAGATATGGTTATGTTGCATTTAGTCAGAAGAAACAACAAAAGCTTTTACGACCTTGCTAAGATACAAATCTGACAGAAACTGGTTCTATCGTGAAAACTTACCGATTTCAATGACACCGAATGAGCAAATAAAGGAAATTGTCAAAAATACTCTTCCTCAAACACACTATGACATCAAAGGTTGCACAATACTTACATTCAAAGAAGACTTACCGCTACTGAAGGAAAAGATAACAGAATATTTCGACAACTTCAAAGAGGAAGAATAAAAAAATCTAAGCTAATTTTATTTTTTTATAAAATTTTATCTCATATGAAAGAACATGAATTTAGAATATTCGGAACTCATGACAGAAGAAGAGAACGAACAACATGTAAAGATTATGCAAAATTTCTGAAGACATACAAAGCATTTAAACAATATCTAAATGCTTCTAAAGATTATGCAAAATTTCTGAAGGTATATAAAGCTTATGAAAAAGCGTATGAAAAGTTTATACATTGGGGAATTGTTGTAAAATATCGATATGAAGACTAACCAAAAATATATTTTTGCTTAAATAGCTTCAGGGTCTATTTCTTCAACCATTTCACTTCCTTCGTCAATGTCAATAGAAGCTTCTTCAACCTTTGGTAAGAATTTCTGTATAACATCTTTGTTCGTTATTGTCTTCAGAGATGAAGGATAATATTTCACATTTGTTTCACCCTTCTTATATTCTTTCTGTTCGGAAAGATTTAAAGCAATACTGAAGAAGTCAATGTTAGAGTTCTTTATAACAGTATAATGAGTATCTTTGACATTGACGAAGAAACTCTTTTGTTTCAAAACTACTGCTAACTCTTGTGAAGTATAACGCTTGCGGTCAATGACAATAGCTAATGGTCTGACATACTGACCAAACTTAGATTCTTTCACAAACTTCTTGTTAAAGATAACATTAACGTTTGAAGCACCATTGAACTCATTCTTGATGGCAGTAGCGAGAGCATTGTATGAAAAGAACTTGCAATCTTGCATGTGTTTCATTAAAATAAAAATATTAAATTATTTTGAAAAATAACTTAAAAAAAATCTAATCTAATTTTTTCAAAAAATATTTTTTTATTTCCTACTAAAGATGTATCGGAAGTTGTCTAAGTTAGAACACTCGGAAATAAAACAACTTCTAACAGAAGCTAATATAGATGTTGCAAAGCATTACGCAACAAACAAAAAAGCACTCGCTGCCATCCTCAATGACTATAATGGTGCAATAAGTTATGATAGAATTCATGAGTTCATAAAGCCGCAACGCGGCGAGGACGAAGTCCATGCAAGAGCATTTCCTTTAAATGACATTGCTATTGACTTATATCATAGACGTTCAATACCTCATGAAGTAAGAAGAGAAATGTTTGACATAACAAATGCAAACGTTGGTGAAACAAGAAGAAGAGACGACACACTGAAACAACAGAGAAGAGAGATGTTTAAAAGTGCTATAGAACAAGTTCGCAAAGCTAACGATGTCATTCGTTCCATTGACGACAAACCAAAAGAAGGTGAGAGATGGTTAAAGAAAGATGAAGAGAATAGGAAGAGAAATGTGAAGTCAGGCAATAGACTCATTGACTTTAACATCGAATCTTTAGATGAACCAAACAGAGACTACTTACACAAACATTTCGGTAAGGTTTTCATGAGACTCTTAGAGAAGATTAAAATAAACTCCAACAAAGATGGATGGTATGTTATAAACTTGGTGGAAAGTATGAATGTTCTACGTTAAACCTCAATAATATTGGAACATTACTACATCAGCTCTTGAAGGAGAACTTTATATCAGAGATAGAAGCAAATGCTGCAGGTATTGTTGAAATGCACTATGACTTCTTCTTGACAAACATAAAGAATCTTACTGAAATAAAGATGTATGATTTAACAGAATATGAAGGCTTAACAATGTCAGATGTAAAGAAAGGAAAGCCACAGAAGCGACCATATAGAGATGAAAGCACACTGACAAATGACCAGAAAGCCATTTTGGAAGCTCTTAAGCAAACAGGAAACCCAGCACTTATAGAAAGCTTTTGGAAAGATAATGGTGAAAAGAAGTTTTATAAGAAGAGAAGCGGTCAGTTCTGGAAGTATCTTTGCACATTACCTATAAATCTTGAACGCTACCAAATCTTCAATGAACTGAACAAAAGAACTGCAGCACTTATGACAGAAGACAATTGTTTCGTTTATGCTTGCATTCAGCTGGAGTAGATGAAGAAACTATTGACCACATGAGAGAAGTCATTCGTGTTAGAGACTTTCCTCAAAGTAAAGTACAAGAAATTTCTGACGCAACAGTATAGCATTTAATGTTACCATTGGTTATTTCAATGACTCAAGACATAATGAAATAAAGAGATACATACCAAAAGAATGAAACTGTTCGAACTATTGACTTACTTCTTGTTGAAGACCACTACATGCTAAATGAAAGATTCCAATGACAACATATTTCATTCGCAACTATATAGAAATCTTGAAGGAGTGTGGTGGAATGAACATTGAGAAAACAGATGAAGATTATACAATGAAGAGGTAAATAATTGTTCGCATGGATAGAACAACACCGCTATGGGATGTTATGAAAACATTGTGGGAGTGCAAATATTTCGAACCTATTTCTTATGGAGAACTTTTCACATATACGACTGACTTATATAAACAGAACCTTGCACCATTTAAAGATTTGACATATGCTCCAAAGTATTGTGTACAACTGAAGAAGAAAGCAGAGTCAAAAGAAGTAAATAAAGCTAAATGTAAGTTCATTCCTGAGCACGTTTTCTTTGCTGACTTTGAGTGTAGCACAGACGGCTTTCATAAAGCTTTTAACATCTGTTATGACAGTGAAGATGGTTCAGTGAGTGAAAGCATTTGGGGTCAGAACTGTGCAACAGAATTTTTGGAACGACTTCCTGACAAGAGTTTAATATATTTCCATAACCTCAGTTATGATATAAACTTCATCTTAAGACACATGACAGAAGTGAAAGGAACTCCCATCATTAAAGGTTCACGAACAATGCAAATAACTGGCTTATATAAAGGAAGGGCAATTATTATAAAAGACTCTTACAGTGTTATAAATAAGAAGCTTAAACTATTTCCTGCTATGTTTAACTTACAAACAGGACCGAAAGAAGTATTTCCATATAACTACTACAGCAGTACTTTGTTAGCAAATGACAACAGAACTGGTGTCATTTCTGAAGCGTGTAAGTTTGTAAAAGATATTGAAACGTTCATGAAGAACATAGATTCCATCAAAGGTTGCAGAATAGATGAAAACCACTTCGACTTAGAAAAATATAGCACGTTTTACTGCAAACAAGATGTAAGAATTTTAAGAGAAGGTTTTGTAAGTTCCGCAATGACTTATTGAAAGAGTTTGATTTAAACGTTTATGACTACGTTAGTATTTGTTCAATTGCTAACAAATTATTTGAGAACAGAGTGTACTTCCCGAATGGAAATTTATATGACCTCTCAAATAAACCAAGAGAATTTATTTCGAGATGCATTCAAGGTGGAA